CTTATCGCCGTCTTTTTTTTACCGACCTCAAAAAAAGTTATCGTGCGAATAATTGATTTATTGTCTATCGCGACAGGCCTACTGAAAATAGGATCCAGATTCTGGGTATGTCCAGCTAAAGGAGTAACAAGTCTATCTGTAAATGTTTMACAATAAGTTGTCAAGAGACTTTTTTGTAGGACATGAACCGATGCACAGTTGCATCAAAGTTTATAGGCATACATTAAAGTAGTCAGAGGAGCTGCAGTCAAGATGGCTCTAGAGAGCCAACTTGCAACATGCACATCTGGATCTTTGTCCCGCTGTATATTTTTACAAGTTCTAAATATGTGCCAAAATTTTAGAAGCTCAGTTCTGTAAAACATTATGAAAATGATAGTTATACACATTTGAGGATGCATTTAAGGTTGCCAAGCTGCCCTGGCCTCGCCCTGTGGATGGTGCTAGTGATGAATATCTTGGCTTCTAAAAGGGTCTAAACCTTACACGGCAATTTTGAAGCTGCTAGGATGAAAGGTTTGAGTGGGAGATTTTTTCAAACACAGTGAGGCATTTTTATGCTGCCACCAAGCGGCACAGTGGTCAATTCACTACATTTGCATACGGTCATGTTCAGGACTGGATCTATCATGTAGCTATTAGCACAGTTTGGACAATTTAGAGGGGAGTTACCACCAGCAATGTGTTCAAGTAGAAACGGGCATGTTCAATGAAATCCCACATTGTTCAAATAACCGACAAACTTTTAATAATTCTTGTGCACCAACTTGTCAAGAAGCTTTGGTCCATCTTTGAAGTCAGTATGCTCAATGAGGACAAAATAGCATTTGATGTGACATTAGATTTACCAACATTTGAACTCCATTCAAAATGGTCAACTTCCTGTAAAGAGCCAGTTTGCCACGCCCACATCTGGATTTTTGTGCCTCCCCATTTTTAACACTTGTTCTATGTATCTGCCAAGTTTTTTTAATGCTCATCCCTCTGAGACAACCATGAAAAAAGCCTCCCATCTGTAGGCCCCCCATCCCATAATAATTAGGTCAAAAACCATAGAGCTTTCCCCTTCTTCACAGCTCTCAGACTCTAATAGTCTGTTAATTAGTAATCAACAGTAAGTCAAGTTTTTACATTTCTTGAAAAGTGAGCAGCAGAAGACCGATAGTTGCACATGTGAGTATTTAATATTTAGTTTGTACAGTTTTTCATGGAGAAATGACAATTTCAAAAGACCATTTAGTTTCRGTTTAGAAATTACTTTGCACTACTTAAAACACAACTGCATTCTATAAAATCTTAGGAGAGCACTCTCCACATTTAGAGATTTGAGAGAAAACCTTAAGTTCTGCAGCAGTAAGAGACACACTGGGTGCAAACAAAACAAAAACATACCTACATTTTGATGATCAACTTGTGTACAGTATGTGCCTAAAAGATTCAATTCAGTTCAGTTGATTTATATAGCACCAAGTCACAACATACAGTACGTAGTCTCAGGGCACTGCACATAAAAAGATGAGTTTGTTTGAAAGATGAAGTGAATTTCTGAAAAAGGCATTGGAAAGTGTTTGATGCAGTGTAACCAACATGTATCAGGAACGCTTTGATCTAAATTTTAACAAAAGTTTTTTTGTTCTGCCTTTGATTTGATTTAACTTCCAGTCATTTTACGATTTAAAAGCAGGAGCATAAAACGCAGCCCCAATATTTTCTTTATGTTTTATGTTGGGAATATGAATAACTCTGAAGATTTTCAGCCACCGTAGGTTTCAAAGACTGGCTAGAAGGCATCATTTGACTAAATTCATGTTGCAATAAGCAGCAAATAAACGGATACCTTCCGTCAGGATTATATGTGTATTTTGTGTATTCATTTTTATCCTATATACCAGCAAGAAACAGAATGATGACACACACCAATGGTCTAAACAAATGGAAGAGTCTTGACAACACTATTCCAAAGAGTTTTAAAACTTTTTTCCAGTTGGATTGTCAGAAATTGTAGTTTTTTCTCAGAATCATTTTTCTTAAAGCGATTATCTATTTGAGTTATTATTCAGACTGCTTCATCTCAAGAGGCAAGCTGGTAGTTTCTTTTAATTTATTTTGAAATGCCAATAATGCAGATGGATATTTCAGGGATTTTGTTAAAGTGAACAAAGATTTTTTTTTTTCATTTTTAAAAAAAAGTCCTGCACTGATAAATGCTTTAATTTGGTAGCCCCATATTGGGTCTAGACAAGAATAATTAGATTTAAGTGCAAGTAAATTTACCATTATTTTCAAAAGTTAAATGTTGTTTTACTTTTTTTAATTCATTTTTTTATAATTTGCTATACTAAACATGTCACCTAAGGGAAAATAAATGAATACAAGATTTACAACAGATTTACTATTAGTACTGTAGCTGCCAGTGGAGCACTTAAATACTATTAAWCATTTCAGGAATAAAATACTTACTTCATGCAAAGTAATTACAGTCATCGGTCAGTCATGGATGTTCATAACACGGCAATGTCTGTTACAAATCAGTCCACAAAAAACACCCACAACAATAAAATGTGTTCTAATATGAGTTCACACTCGTATTAGAAATAAATAAATCAGTACAATATAAACTTTATTACAGCATCTATATGCTTGTTCCGCACACACAAGAATCACTTTCATGCCACATCTATAAAGTAATTACACAGTAAAAAAGGCTGAAAACAAAATTATTGGTAACAAGTTGAAAGTCTTGGAAAAGGGATTTTTAATGCAGTGCTTGAAAACTTTTAAAAAATGAAATGGGAGAATTTAGAGACAAATTTTTTCAGTCAATTCWTATTTGAATTTGTGAAAGATAAAATCGGAGTGTAAACTGCTGGCATGGTAGTMTAGCAATAGGACATCCTGGTGATAGACATACTATGCCCCACTGGTCAAAAAYGATCTTTTCTTCATCTAGTGTCACCTGCAGCAGAGCGACTACGCTACATCCTGAGTGAAGATGATGACCTTCCCACACCGACGCTCTTCACAGAGATGGACACTCTGCAGCGAGAAGGTGAAGAACTGGAGTGGAAGGAGTCTGCCAGGTGAGTATCTACTATCAAAAYATCTGAGACACATGTGCTGAGGTGGAGATTGATCTACTCAAAATAAAACTGGCCTTCCTTAGAAGAATGCCTATCAACATAATGTGTTGGGGTCAAATGTTAGCTCAGTATTTGTAAAACTGAATAAGTTATTTTGTGTTGGCTAAGAGTGATTTAGCTGCGGCAGCCATCTTGGAACAGATTGATTCCAAGCRTTAATCAGCTGTTATTCCAATAATTTTACAACTTTCTTAAAAACTCATCAGAATCTGTCCACTGGTTCATGAAACGTTTTGCAAACAGACAAAAAGGGTTAACTTCAAAGTGATCACCCACCGCATGTTTCAGACACAGGTCTGATAATGGAAACATATGCTGGCATTTACAATGTAAAAGCTTTCAGTTACAATTACTTTCAATTGGAGTCCAGACAATTTGCTCCYAGATCACTGAAAGCATTAGCTGGCAGAGCTAGTTGATAAAATTTAAAAAAAGTGATATTGAGATAACCAAATACTGGAACAAACACAATGGTCCCTTTGCAACCGTGTGGGGAACCCCACCTGCATAGTCGTGCATTTTTGACCTTTTTGTCTTTTCGCTGCCTTCAGGTGGGTGCGCTTTGAGGAGAAGGTGGAAGAAGGAGGAGAGAGATGGAGTAAACCCCACGTGTCCACGCTGTCTTTGCACAGTCTTTTTGAGCTCAGGACTTGTCTCCAAACAGGAACAGTGCTGCTGGATCTAGAAGGATATTCTCTGCCTCAGATTGTGGGTGAGATGCTCAAGATTTTTCTTTGATTGATAGAACAGTGAGCCAATGCAGAGAAGACAAAAATGTCTGGCAGCAACAMTGGGACAACCAAATAATAAAGCATTTCAATAGACCAGCCTAGAAGTGGTAAATGCATGTACTAGTTTTGGGACAAGATGTTTCTTATTTTAATATTATTTTGCAAGGAGGAGGACAGGGAGATGTAGGGAACTTATTTCTAGTGGCAGAGCGGGTACGACATTGGTATTTAATCTTATTTATTGTTTGTTTGTTTGTTTGTTTTTTACATCCTACAGATTCTGAGGCATAAAATAAATTTGTTTTTAAAAAAAGTCTGTGCAATTTGAATAATTCTGTGAGATTGCCCTATACATTCGTATACCTGCAAAATGGTGGGAAGTCTATGTAATTTACAGACAATCCATACCCTGCTATTCCCAAGGTTATTCACATTAGTACTGGGGGTCCAGATGGAAGCTGCTGTAGCTCAGTGTTCAGTGCTGCTGTCTTGTATTCCTAAAGCTGCAAGTCTGAGCTCAGTAAGAGCATCCAGCATAAACAGTTAGCCCATTTATCATGCAGCTTCACTTTTGTGGCAACTCCTGCAGAAATGAGCAACCAAAAATAAAAACAACAACTGGAAGCCAAGTTCATATTATCATCCAAAAAAAAGAAAGGCTCCAAAGTTTGTTTCTAAGATGCTCATGTTCAAAAACACAGCATCTGTTGTCTGAGTTTAAAAACAGTAAACTAAGAGTCACCCAGGTTTTTCAGTCTCATGCAGGTCTAACTAAGAGTTAGGGGAGGGGTCAGGAATGGTTGGAGGTGTGGTCTGGTAGGTGTGTATATAGGATGTTTACAGCAAGGCTTATCTAATCAAAAGAAATGTTTAGATTATTTATTGTATATGTTGGAGTTATTAAAATAGTGTTGGTCAGTCAGTTGGAGGGACTAGTCTAACTGTGATAGTACTCCATTACAGTTTGTTGTGTGGGTGACCTATAATGCTTTGCGGTTGAGTAGGGGGCGTGATTTAGGGAGGCTGGAATTGGTGGATTGTTGTTGGGGTTTGATGGAGATTGGTGGATTGGTTTTAATGTTGGACCCCTGTTTTTGTAATAGTTATTTTGTTGTTTTAAATAGTTTTTGTGGTTATTTTGAGGGAATTTAGGCCTCTGCTTTGGGGTAATAATGTTTGTTTCTTTAAGGAGGATTATTTTATATGTAGAAACCTGTGTGGTTAGTTTTAGGAAATGGAACTGGTCGAGTCAGCTGTTCCAAGAGGCCATTGGAGGCAGCCTGTTGATTTGTATGTGCTGTGTAAGATGTAGTGAAATATGGCTGGCATATTCCAGCAAGTGTAGGTGTAGAGGAGGGGTCAGGGATAGTTGGGGATTAGGCTACAGAAACGATCCGTGAATGAATGGAAGTCCCTATGAGGTTAGAAGAACAAACATGGTGTGCGCGTGTGTGTGAAATAACTTAAAAACTTCAAATTTTAAACAACAGTAATCCAAATGGATTTAGTTTTTTTTTTTGTTTGACAGTATTTGTTAACTATTGATGTTTCTGTACAGATGACATCATTGACAGGCAGATAGATGAAGGCTTGATTTCTCCTGACCTCAGAGAGAAACTGAGTTTTGTGCTGTTGAGAAAGCATCGACATCAGACCAAGAAGCCCATTCACCGCTCACTGGCTGACATGGGCAAGTCCAGCTCCTCCACCAGTAAGTACACAGCAAAAATGCCAGTGTTAATTTAACACCCACAGTGTTTATTTCAACACCAGCAAAGTGTCTATATGTGTCCACACTTGCTGGTGTTAAGTTAACATTTGTGAAATTGTTACATTTTAACACACTTTTTTTGTTAATTTAACACCAGCCAGTGTTTAATATTCAACAATATTGGGTGTCACATTTAGTTAGTTAGTTAGTTAGTAACTAACTAACTAACTAACTAACTAACTAACTAACTAACTAACTAACTTAGTTTAGTTAAGTTTATTAATTTCTTTAAAAACAACAACATAAATTCAACATACAACAAAAATACAAATCATAAATTAAATGAAAGGTAGCAGACAAAAAATATCTTACATATGCCCCTTTTTCTCAAATAAATAATTCAATCAAAAATAATCTTCAGTTTACAAAAAAAAAAGAAAAGAAAAATGAAAAATAATAAAAGTTTAACTCCTTGAACAACAATTCATACATTTACATATTTCTCCAGCAAATTAATCTTTATCATTCTCTTAAATATACACATTGATCTATCATTTTTAATGTCATCTTCCTGATTATTCCATAATCTTATACCTTGGACTGAAATACTCCGTTCCTTTAAACTGGTTCTAAATTTGGGTTTAACAAACATCTTTATCTCCTTGAGATTGTAACAACTTTCTCTTTTAACAAATTGAAGAAATTATTGGGGTTTAGATTTATATAACTGWTTTAAATTACATACACATGCTATARTTTTATGATAGAACTGTAATGATTGTTAAATGTGACTGTTTTGCTYAACTTGATGATTCTACATTGATAGCTGCATGCCAGAAACAAATCCAACACATACAGTGAACTTTTTAGTTCTTCATTAGAGTAGCCTTTTACTGTCTGAGGAACATGGCTTTGACCCAATGRCAGGGACCCCCCACTGATGACATAATCAAATAGGYRGAGCCATGCCCTGAAGCTATTTGATAAAACTATATGGACTTCCTTATTCTGGGCCTGACCTCTTCGTCACTTGAATAAAACAGATCAGCAAAGAGCGCTTTTTGTTTTTGTATGGTTTCCTCTTTAACAATTCTTTCCATGCATTTGCACATTTGTTATATGGTTTAGCACACATTCTGTAAACCAACACAAATAACTCTATTTTCTTTTATAAGTGTAATTGGGTGTTTGAAGGTAAAGTGTTTTATGAGCCCTATACAYAACTGATAAAATACCATAATCAACCAAATCAYAAAATTTCAATAACTTCAACAGATGGAACAGTGTATTTGATGGGTGACTGTAATGTTTTCTGGTGATACGGTAATACTTACAGCTCTTTTCTGTAAAACAAAAATTATTTTGCACGACTGAGGGCGCGTCCTTTAAACACGTGTCTGGAGAAGGGGTTATCTGCAGAATCAAAGTGGGCGTGTCACAAGAGTGGGCGTGTCAAAAACATAAACACTGTGGGCTACGAGGCCTACATGAYGGTWTCCTTARATCCTGCTTGATSTCTTTACAGCCTGACCCTGACCCCAACACTAAGGTTGACCAGGAGAAATGTGACCCAAGTAGGGTTCTCCAGAAAAAGTGGTGCCGTACAGTAACRCCCCTTTTGTTCTTGTCGATCAGGTGGTGCCGTACGGTGTCGCCCCTTTTTTGTTTGTCCAGTCAGGTGTGTCCCTTTAACAAAGTCCGTCAAATCAGGTGTGTCGCTTTAGAATCGCCTTTCGTTGGGACACGCCCACTCGTCCGCAGAGACCCCTACTTGCGTGTCTGCKTTTGACTTATTTTTTTCTAAAATCACAGAGTTCTCTGAGTCAGCTTCAGATGTTTGTAGTTAATCATAATATCTTCTAAATTTAACCAGGTGTTTCAATGCCTTTAAATTACACAATAACTTTACTGGAGAAACTTGTCAGTTTGGTTAAAAAACAGTAAAAATATATTTTTTTTCTGTGCAGAGAACTTCCTCTGCTATAATTTTTTTAAATAAATATATCAAAGCTCTTCAGTTGAAAACACTAAAATGATAGAAAAGATGTTTAAAAACCTCTTTCCTCAAAAAGTCTTCAGTCCTAAGAACACTAAACTGTAACTTTTAATACGGTTATGTATAAAGTATTTTCCCATTTAAAAGAAAATCTTTGACCTGTAAGCAGAAAGCTTATGGATGTGGATCTTGGATCTCTATTTCAAGGAGGATGAGGAGGAGAACGTTCATGAGAGGTCACCACACCACCATGGTTCAAATAAAATCCTTGGGGAAACCCTGAACACCAGGGGGTGTTAAATCAACACCCAAAAGTTTAACACTGAAATTTTAGCACTCCTAGCCATCATCTTTAAAACCACAGCTGGCTAACAAGCCAGGACAAACTGAGAACATACAGCCATGTTTTTATCTGTCAGCAGTTGGTCCATTCTGCTTAACACACAACCCACTGACTGTTATACTTTCAGTATGACTGTTTAGCTCTTTCAGTAAATGAGCGCACACTCCCATGCAACCAACAGGGCTCATAGCCCCACAGGGGAAGCATAAATGTTTGACGAGCTAATTATCACTGTAACATTTCCCCATCTCATCAGGACAGAGCACATGCTGCTCAGTAAACAGTAAATATCACCATCTGCTTCTTTGCTGCTGCTTACGTGTGTTTCCTTGCTTCTGTCAGGTCGAAATGTAGCAAATCGAGGTGCAGCAGGTCCAGGACCGGGTCAGAGCCAAGGGGCAAATTTCAACAGATCCACAGAGGACCTTCGCATGAAACAGCAAACTGCTAACTATGGCCGTCTGCGTGAGTTTAGTTTTAAGACATCAGATTTATGCTATTCTTTTTGTTTTCATTAAATAATAAATATTTCAAAACCAACACAATTTCAATTTTAACTATGAAATTATCTGTGATGCCATTTCAGAACTCAAAAAATGTGGTTATCAGAAATTAAAGAAGCAAATATTAACACCATCTTTTGGGCCCTGTTAGCTTATATTTGAATGCAAAGCCTCATGGATTCTGMTAGGGTTCAAATTTAAATACTGCAGCTCCACAGTGGCTGTACAGACTCTCCATTTTTGATTGATACCTCTTTTTTGAGTTTTTTAGTTTTTGTTTAGTTTATTCATTCATTTTTATTAAAAAAATTCTATGTACAGTAAAAAAACAAATCATAAATTAAAGGTAGCAGAAGATTATAAAAATTATAATATCTGCCCCTTTTCTCGAAAAGATACATTTAAGCAAAAATAGTCTTCAAATAATAAAATATCCAGCTGGATTCAACGATGGTCTCTCCAGAGCCAATAATATCCAGAGTTCTAACTACACTCAACTCATGTAGCTATTTATTTCTACAATAATTTGGACTGCTGAAATTAAACATTCAGAGAACTTCAAAGGGTTCAAGAATATACTCTAATTTAAAACAAATGGAATTTTCTTTTTCCAGGCATTTTGCACAGTTGCCTTTCTGAAGGTAACCAGCTTTATTTTAAAAAAACTACCTTTTTTACATCTACTATTTTATTTATCTACAGTATTATATAAAACTATGTATTCTCCGAACAGGCAAACAAGCTTTTGACTTCATACTGATTTTGAAATAAAGACTCYTGTTTTTAGTTGTGATTTTATGTTGTTGCATTTTCTCTAGCCCACAGAGGCTCAAAATTACAGTATATGGACAGGTTCATTGATACACAGTTCCTATAAAAGCTATTCACCCCATGGATGTTTTCTGCTTTTATTGCTATCATAGATCAACCACGGTCAGTCTAAATTGACCTTCTTTATAAAATAAAAGCTCTTCAATGTCAAAGTAATACAAATAAAAAATAGATAATGAATTACAGTACAAGCTAAGTACAAAACCGATACTAAATACTTCCTGAGGCTGTAAACATCCTCAGCAGTTCAGTTAAATCCATCATCAAGAGGTGGAAAGAATGAGGGTCATGTTTAAATCTTCTAAAAGGCCATGACAGTGTCATAAGGAGAAAAGAGAGCCCACCAAGACACCTGTGACCACTCTGAAGGAGTTACAAGCTTCAGCAGGTGRGATGGGAGAGAATGAAAGGAAAGCAGTATTGACAAAAGTCTGACAAACAGCATGATAACACCATGCTTCTCTGTAGACGGCCCTAGTCACGATTTAATCTCAGATTTCTACAACAGCAGCTTTTTCTTTGCTGCTCTCTGATCTCACTTGCTGAAGCTCGTAACGCTGTAGCAGGTGTGCAAACGGGGCAGCTGAAGTCAAAGTATTCATTTAGTAAAACCTTTTGCAATCAAATCAGAACTTTAAAAGTTTCTTAATGACATCAATGTGAGGTTTGAAGAAGGGTTTTGTTTTGCAGGTCACGCTCAGAGTCGGAGTATGAACGATATCGCTGATACTCCAAGCCCAGACCAGGTAAATCATACTCAGTTTGTCATGACACAACAATCTCACAAACATGATTGATAAATACTAATACTAAACATATTTTAAAACTGTAAATCTGCTTTAATCTTTTTGTTTTCCTCTTTAAAGAGTTTATGTTCCTGTTTTTGTTTTATGCATCATTTTTTATCATGTTGCTTCCTGTCGTCAGTCTCTTGTCTCGGTTAGATTGTGTTGAATTGATCATTCTTTCAATCAAAAGTGTCATCTGTCTCTCATTGTGACTAATGCTGAAGGTGACAGRGCGTGATGGGGGATATGTGCGAACATATAACTCCCACATTAGTGGAGCCCATGGAATAATGGGGCCTAAATTCATGAACGCATGCTTGTGCAGCTGAAAGGCGTGCTGTTGTTGCAGGGTGTAGGCTATTAAAGTTTGAAAACAGACAGGTCAGGAATAAGTGTCCCTCACTGGGGGAAGTAATGTGCATGAAAACACTGAACGAGGGTTTGTTTCAGAGCATGAGCAAGGGCGATAATAAAATATGTCATTGTAACTACAGGAATGAGTTCAGTCTGTTCAGCTTGGCCCAAGGACTTCAGCTCTGAATGTTTAGTTTTGTGCAGAGATTGTGGTTACAGACATGCAGTAGGTCATATGCAACAATGGGATAATGATAGTTTATATCTGTGTGCATCTGTGCTTGCACAGTCACCATGAGTATTGAGCTGGAGTGGGCAGGAACATGGAATCTATTGTTTAGTCCGCGTGCTCCCCTCTCACATGTAGCCATCGTTTCAGTCTGGATTATTGACAAAGCTTGTCATTATGAGTGTTATTGTATCTCTGCAATCATTTTCTGCAACACCTTACCGTGCAATCAGATGGGTCGGGTTGGCTTGTCGTCATTTTTTGTGTCAGCCTATATTTGTYGTGCCTTTTGTTGAGAGGTCTTTTGGTTTTGTGCCTATGAAACAACACAGGATKACCTAAAATGAAACAATATGCCAGATTTAGAGACTGTTAGTAACAAACAATAAACAGAAAATCAGAAAATATTGGCTTTGTTTTGTGTATTATGTGTTCATGACCCACAGAACACGCCATTACAAACTACACTATTAATATGTGTAACATTTGGGAAATATACTGTAAGAAAATGTGACTAAATTGTCATTTCTCACTTTCCTCTTTTTTCCTGTAGYTGAAAAATAAATTCATGAAGAAAATCCCCAGAGATGCAGAAGCATCCAATGTCTTAGTGGGCGAGGTGGATTTCCTCAGCAAACCTTTTGTTGCCTTTGTCCGTCTGATCCAAGCTACAACACTGGGAGGCCTGACAGAGGTGCCTGTTCCCACCAGGTAAAACCATCAAACATCCTGTTTGTCAAACTTCAGCTGACACCTTGCTATGCCAGCACATCCCCTCTCGTGTGCTTTACTACTCTGCAGATTCCTGTTTGTTCTCTTGGGACCACCAGGAAAGGCCAAGTCATATAATGAGATCGGCCGAGCCATAGCAACCCTAATGGTGGATGATGTAAGTGTCTGTTGTTGCAGATGAATCAGGTCTTCATGGCGTTCTTTATTTGTTAGACAGCACTTTGCTGACATTGACATCGTCTCAGGGAACCTGTTGGTATACTTTGTCTGCAGTTGAAGCTCAAATAGACAGCATGTGGATGATTATGTCTGGAAGTGTTGCTGGTTGTTAGCACCAGTTAAGAACAATGTTTTACCAGAGGTGAGAAGTCATTATTGCCCACCCCTGAAGGCAAAAGGGCTTTAATATTTTTGCCTGTGTGCATGTGTGTGAATAGGCTGATGAAAATCTGGTGACTTAAATTTGACTTAAATGCAGTCAGCTCTTTTTGATAAAGTMGGTTTTTACATAAGAAAATAGTTAGGTTGCCCTCCTCAGTGACATGCAATATARTAGAAACATCACTACTTAAAAAGCCGTTTTGAAATTGTGACACGATTAGAACTGTGTTTTTATCAAGWCAAGTCAACTTTACTTGTGTAGCACATTTAAAGGGATCCCTGATTAGTTGTAACATTAGACTTTATTTGATAAACATTTGTTTTAACTGTAAAATAGAGACTGTAAAATACTGTAGGMTGCTTAGTTTTGTAAATTTTTAAAAATAAATTTTAACACGAACGGAGCCATTTTATTTACACACAAAGCATTCTGGGTAAATGATGATGCGAATAGGTCATCGGTGTGAGCGAGCTATACGCTGTTGGATCTAATTTCTCCTGGTGTTTACATCGACTTGAGCCCCCCACCTCTCCCCCTCTCACTCCGTTTAATCTGATTTCCTGAAGGTCAATCTGGAGCTGCACAGAACGAACAATTCAGCACCAGTATTCTGAACTGGCTGAACTATGATTTTTTTCTTTTGGGGGGCTGGGTTCTTCGGACTCATTCCGTCTAAACTCACTTACTCCTCTGGCTAATAAATGTGCTCTTGCTTGTTGAGGATTTTTCATAAACACCGTAGTGTATCATATTTCGTTGATATACTATGATGTTTTCTTTTGTTTTTTCCTCATCCAACCTTCTGTGTTTTTTTCGTTTTTCTTTTTAAAGGTAGCACAACCTCTGCTGGTTGCCACATGACCTGATCACCTGTTTCCCCCATGTTTTTGTCATATGTGTGTCTTCTTGAATGAATGTTCTTAAATGTGACTTCATTGTGCTCCGTACAACGATAATAAAGGCTTCATCAATCAATCAATCAATCAATCAATCAATCAATCAATCAATCAATCAATCAATCAATCATCAATCAATCAATCAAAACGATGGTTAAAAAGAGACATATTTTTGCCATACTGCCTTCTGTTACTGAGTTTAAGTCCATTTAGAATCTGTGGTGTTGCTAATTTATTATTATTTTTATTTAAATATCTGTTGAACAGGGAAAATACATGAAACTTTTTTAAAATTAATTACAAAAMAGATGACAGATTTGCGATGTCTGTCCCAGGATGGGTTTTAAATGTTAAAACAAGTTAATCCAAAGATCAATGCAACACAAAGTCATTTAAATGCAAAATGAATAGGAGACAAAAACAAAGAATAAAGTCGCAAAGTAGATAAGAGCAGAAAACTAAAATARATTCTTATAAAAGTTGAAATTCTCAGGCTTTAATTAGTTTTTGTTGTCATTGGTTTGCTTGTGTGTTAAAAATYGTGAGCTCTGTCAATGTTTCAATTTGAAGTGGCAATATATTCAAAGTCAACAATTAGTTAGAAGGCACCATGACTCTTGCTCTGTTTTCTGGTAGCATTTTGCTTCTATCCGGGGAGTTTTGCAGACATATGTACAATTGTGTTCTTCGTATTTGTTTTTGGCTCTTTTACAGCTCTCTGGTAAATCATTGTTATATAAGCTAAAAAGTAAAGGACCCAACATAAAATCTTGTGGAATCTCCACTCACAACATTTAGACAGGCTGGAATGACATCTAAATCATCCGTCTGTCCGTTTTCTGCCGCTTATCCAGAATCGGGTCGTATTATATATTGTATTGTATATAGGGGTAGCAGCCTAAACAGAGAGACCAAGACTTCCCTCTCCCCAGCCACTTGGGCCAGCTCGTCCGGGGGAATCCCAAGGCGTTCCCAGGTCAGCCGAGAAACATAGTCCCTCCAGCGTGTCCTGGGTCTTCCTCTGGGCCTCCGCCCAGTGGGACATGCCCGGAACACCTCACCAGGGAGGCGTCCTGGAGGCATCCTAACCAGATGCACGAGCCACTTCAACTGACTCCTCTCGATGTGGAGGAGCAGCGGCTCTACTCTGAGTCCCTCCCGTATGACCGAGCTTCTCACCCTATCTCTAAGGGAGAGCCCAGMCACCCTGCAGAGGAAACTCATTTCGGTCGCTTGTATCCACAATCTCGTTCTTTCGGTCACTACCCAAAGTTCATGACCACAGATGAGGGTAGGAACATAGACCAACCGGTAAACCGAGAGCTTTGCCTTCTGGCTCAGCTCTCACTTCACCACGACAGATGGGTACAGTGCCCACATCACTGCAGATGCAGCACCAATCCGCCTGTTGATCTCGCGCTCCATTCTTCCCTCATTCGAACAAGACCCAGAGATACTTGAACTCCTCCACTTGGGGCAGGACCTCCTCCCCGACCCGGAGGCGGCACACTACCGGTTTCCGGCTCAAGACCTTGGTCTCGGATTTGGAGGCACTGATCCTCATCCCGGCCGCTTCACACTCGGATGTGAACCGCTCCAATGAGAGCTGGAGATCATAATCTGATGAAGCCAATAGGACCACATCATCCGCAAAAAGCAGAGATGCGATCCTAAGGTCACCAAAAAGGATCCCCTCAATACCTTGGCTGCGCCTCGAAATTCTGTCCATAAAAGTTATGAACACAATCGGTGACAATGGGCAACCTTGGCGGAGTCCAACTCTCACCGGAAATGAGTCTGACTTACTACCGGCAATGCAGACCAAGCTCTGACACCGGTCATACAGGGACCTAACAGCCCATATAAATGAACCTGGTATCCCATACTCCCGGAGTACCCCCCACAGGAGTCCCAGAGGGACACGGTCGAATGCCTTCTCCAAGTCCACAAAACACATGTAGACTGGTTGGGTGAACTCCCATGCACCCTCCAGGACCCCGCTGAGGGTGGAGAGCTGGTCCACTGTTCCACGACCAGGGCAAAATCCACACTGCTCTTCCTGAATCCGAGATTCGACTATCTGACGGACCCTCCTCTCCAGGACCCCTGAATAGACCTTACCAAGGAGGCTCAGAAGTGTGATCTCCCTATAGTCGGAACACACTCTGCGGTCCCTCTTTTTAAATAGGGGGACCACCACCCCGGTCTACCAATCCAGAGGAACTACCCCTGATGTCCACGATATTGTAGAGTCGCATCAACCAATACAACCCCACAACCTCCAAAGCCTTAAGGAACTCTGGGCGAATCTCATCCACCCCCGGCGCCTTGCCACAGAGGAGCTTTTTAACCACCTCAGTGACCTCGGCACCAGAGATTGGAGAGTCYGACCCARGGTCCTCRGGCTCTGCTTCCTCATGGGAAGATGTGTCAGTAGGATTGAGGAGGTCTTCAAAGTATTCCACCCACCGACCCACAAAGTCCCGAGTTGAGGTCAGCAGCGCGCCATCCCCACCATAAAT